GCCATTCCTGGGCCACAGCAGAGAGCTGGACTGGAAGATGAGCAACTGGGACAGAATCCAGCGCCCCAATTGGGACTAGAACCGGGGCTGCCAGCACCACAGGCAGAGGATTAGCCAAGTGAGCCTCGGCGCCAGCCTCTTAATACATTTCTAGCAACTTTTAGAAGATCCTTCATAGTTAAGAAAAAGACGCATTCGGTAGAAAGGATTCAAGTGAGTTCAGTAGGAAAGGACTAAAGTGAAGAAGGTGGAGCCGAGGCTGTGTTGCCTCCACTTAGGGCTCCAGCAGCCCACAGCTGTGCGGGACTCCTGGCTGCTCTGTTTCCAGTGCAGCTCCCTGCTAGCCTCCCTGGAAGATCTCCTCTTTGCTCTGTTTCTTCCCCTCTCTCGGTCACTCTGCCTTTCAAATAAATTAAAAGAACACCACTTAATAAACAGAAGTTGTATATGTGACTACATACCAAAAACCTGTTTTTTTTTTAAAAAAAAAAAAAGAAAAAAGTGATTATGGTATGCGGCTAACTACCCAGCACTGAGACTCTAACTGGCACCCATATGGGATGCTGCCATTGCAGGTGGTGGTGTTGCCCGCTAGGCCATAGCACCAGTCCCATGAATAGCTATTACACAATGTACACATGCATCAAGACATCACACAGAATCACATTAATATGTGCAATTGATACATCCGCTACATTCTTATTAAATTAATGAAAACGCATTGAAATAGTGTCTTATGCACGCAGACTTGACGATAAACAACTATTTCTAATGTATGTATTCATTTTTCATTCTAATTTCAGTGTGCTCATTCTATTCATAAAAATGTGTATTGTCAAAGCATGTCATGTGCTGGCAGCAGCCTCATTCAAGTGTACTTCAAAGCTCTGTGGAAGGGGCCGGCGCTGTGGCACAGCGGGTAAAGACGATGTCTAGGACCTATGGGGCCAGCATCCCACATGGGTGCTGGTTCCAGTCCAGGCTACTCCTCATCAGGTCCAGCTCCCTGTTATTGTACCTGGGTATGCCACAGAGGATGGCCCCAGGACTGCACCCACATGGGAGACGCAGAAGCAGCTCCTGGCTCCTGGCTCCTGGTTCCTGGCTCCTGGCTTAGGATCATCTCAGCTCTGGAGGTTGAGGCCATTAGGGAGTGAACCAGAGGATCACTGCCTCTCTCTAACTCTGCCTTTCGAATGCATGAATACATCTTTCAAAAAGAGAAGAACAGATCTTGGAAAACGTGTATGTGAATGCACACTTGACCATTCAAACTGTTCTGCCCAAGTTTGTATCAGTTGAAACACTCTCTGCCTAGGAGGACAATTTACACTTTTCACTTTGTCAAGCTCTGGATGAGTATCAACTTTGAGTGTTGTCCAATCGAGTGAGAGTGTAGTGGTATGTCATTCCGATTTGCATATGCAGGGACACTGCTGTGGCATAGCCGGTGAAAGCCACTGCCAGTCCTGCAAGCATCCCATATGGGCGCCAATTGAGTCCAGGGTGCTAAACTTCCAATCCTGCACTCTGCTGTGGCCTGGGAAAGCAGTGAAGATGGCCCAAGTGCTTGGGCCCCTGCGTAGCCGTGGAGCCGTGGGAGACCTGGAAGAGTCTCCTAGCTCCTGGCTTTGGAGCGGCGCAGCTCTGGCCCTTGTGGCCAATTGGGGAGTAAACCAGCAGATGGAAGACCTCTCTCTCTCTCTCTCTCTGTCTCTCTGTCTGCCTCTCCTTCTCTCTCTGTTTAACACTGACTTTCAAGCAAATAACTAAATCTTTAAAAAAAATAAACTTATCATCTGCTTCCTCGTGGCCGACATGCCCGTGAACATTTTACTAAAGAGTCTGGGGCTGTAATTCTGGGCAGCCAAGAATCCCTCTTAGGGTGAAGATCAGGGGAGAAAAGGAAGACGAGACTCTCCCCACCCCGGGTTGTCCTGCTATTCCGTTTCTACCAACTGCAACAATAAAATACATTTTGCCACCTGCCTTCCTGCACATATAACCTTCATTTTGTATTAGGGATGCCTCTAAATTCTATATATTTTGCTAGACATGTATCAAGTATTTCTTCTTCAGTAAAATGCTGACTTTGGTACTAAATAGTAACTAAATAAAAAGTCTGCATCTTCAGAGGGTATGCAGCTTCCTCGTGGTGGTATGTTTTGAAACAAGGCCTACCTAGGCTTGAATTTTGTCAGCTGCCATTGGCATTCATGAGTACTTGATCCTATCCCTTTTGTTCTGACTGCATTGCTAAGATAAGCTTATTCCTACATTTTCTTTATTAAACCAGCTTAGAGAAAAAACTTACACTAAATTCATTCAGTGAAGTTTATTTGAGCAATTAAAACAACTTCAGCAACAAGAATACAAAAATACAATCATTGACTACCTTTCATCTACTCTGCTTCATATACAATTTAAGTTTAAAAACACGCCAAGGAGTTCTCGTTTCTCTTTGCACGAGGAATACATAACAGGCAGAAATCAGAAATGCCAGTCAGGTACTAGGTCTCCAGTGGGGACAGGCCAGGACGAATGCTCCCGTGGCTGGGAACTTTACAGGTTCTGAGGGTCAGGGGCCACTGCACAGTCACAGAGCAGATGGTCAAGGGCTCAGGGGCTGAAGAGCGTTCACTGGTGCTGAACTTGGCTCATGCCACCAGAAAGCGCCTCCCTGTGGCTTGAGCCAGAGGGGACTAGCATCAGGCACACCAGGGCCGGGGGCAAGCACAGACGCAGCCAAGGTTCTGGAGGCGCAAGTGCGGCGCACCACCCCATCCTCTGCCTGATTCCCAGGAGACGCCCAGTCCCCAGCAGTGTCCCTGCAGAAGCTTCTGAATGGCTGCACGCTGGTGCTGGGAGGAGTCAGCGGCACCACGTCAGGGAGACCCACGGTGATGCTGTCCAAGGAGAGCAGGCAGGGGCCCGGGTGCATCGGGGCATGGGGATCCAGCGGGGGCCCCAAGGGTTGAAGATCCGGGGCGCAGCAACATCCCGAAGCCTTGGCAGGAAACGGGCGTTCAGGGCTCTGAGTAGCACTGACCTCTGAAGCTCCATCACTGGGCAGGGGCGGAGCCTCGGCGCCAGCATCGGTGTGTGCAGAGGGGGACAACAGCCGCCTCTTGGGTGGAACCTCCAGGCTGGGCTCCTCAGCTGGCAGTGGCCGAGGACGCCGACCATGACCACGACCAGGTCTGGCAGCTGACAGGCGCACAGCCTCGGCAGACAGAGCTGGAGTCGGTAACCAGGCCAGGCGGGCTGCCTGGACCTGCGAACGTCAGTGTGCAGTGTGACATCACTGCTGTGGCCCAGAGCCAACTGAGATCCGGGGCCCACAGGAGCAGCTCGACGGGTGCTACCAGAGGCCGGCACAGGCCCAGTGGACCTAGCCTGGGGCGAGGAAAGCTGCCTGAGGCCCAGGGCAGCCCTCCAGAGCCCGCGATCCTGCCTACAGGCCGTCAGCTCCTGGCTGGTGCACAACGCGTGGCTGGGGCGCGGCTTCAGGCAGCGGCGTGATTTCTGGCTGCTGCATGGCTCCTCACTGGTGCCTGGCTCCTGGCTGAGGCTTGGCCCCTGGCTGGTGAGAAGCTCCTGGCTGCTGTGAGGTTCCTCACTGCTGCGTGGCTCCTGGCTGAGGCTTGGCCCCTGGCTGGTGAGAAGCGCTGGCTGGTGCCTGGCTCCCGGCTAGTGTGTGGATCCTGGCTTGTTTGGCCCATGGGCTCCGGGAGGGCCACAGCGCCACGGTCTTGCCCGCGTTTCCACAGCTCGTAGCGCTCGGGTTGCAGGATACGAACGAAGGGGTCCATGTCAAAGGTGACCCTGGCCTCCCCGCAGCTGCACTGGGAGGCCACTTTGCCATAGTCGATCCAGCGCGGGGTGGCGAAATTGATGGCTTCGGCGCAGTTGAAGCCGTGGTTGAAGCCCGCGTGGTAGCCGTAAGGAAAGGTCACCATGAACTCGCCAGCCTGCTGAGTGACGCGGCGGAAGGGGATGCCGTTCTGCCGCAGGACGCTGGGCGAGATGAGGGCCACCTTGTGCCGCAGGAAGGCCTGGCAGCTGCGGGAACTGCCCGGGAACAGCTGCCCGGCCAGGCGCTCCAGGCGCCGCCCGTGCTCCGGGGGCACCGCGTACCACGTCTTGGGCTCCCCGAAGTGCAGGTAGTTGATGCTGTACAGGTCCATGTCCTCCGTGTGCCAGGCGAACGTGGTCTTCCACATGCCAAAGTACAGGTAGGGCGTGTTGACGCCCTCGATGACGACGCCGCACTCCTGCGCCAGCAGGTCCAGAGGCGAGCCCAGGCGCCTGAGGTTCCAGTGTGCCGTGTTTTCATCAAACAGAGAGCCGCTGATGCCAGCGCCGTAGATCGGGGCATCGTAGACACGGGTCTTCCAGTACTTTTGCTCCAACTCTTCGAAAGTCAGGTGCGCTGGGGTCTGGTATTTTGTGCTGGTGGCCAGCTGGCGATACTGTCTCAGGGTCATGGCTCTCCTCTTTCTGTGGAACTGAGTGAAGACACCTGCCCCGCCATAGGCCTTCTGCTGGAGGGGGCGGGCTATCAAGATGTCATCCATGTCGTCGTAGCTCTGTCTGGCCCTCCACTCCTTGGGTGGGATGACCTTGGCCAGGCCTCCTCGGTGTGCACCCTGAGATTCCATCTGAGCGATAAATTGGTTGAAGTCCATAAACTCCTCCATGGTTGGGTAGAATGTCATGATGTGGCAGCTGGGGTTCTGGGGGCCGGAGCTCTCAGGCGTCATGGCTGCAAGACAGGAAAGTGGGCGACTCTGAGTCCCCAGGTGTGTTCTAGATCGTCCCCCTAGAATTTCCCCCAGAGGATCTTCTCTACGTAGTCTCTTTAGTAAAGATGGATTCATTCATTTCACAGGCAGAATCACACACACACACACACACACAGAGAGAGAGAGAGAGAGAGAGAGAGAGAGAGGGAGGGTCTTCCATCTGCCTGTTCACGATCCCCAAATGGCCTCAACAGCCAGAGCTGGGCCCATCCAACCTGGAGCTGCTTCTGCATCCCCCGTGGGTACAGTGGTCAGAGCACTTGGATCTCCTTCCACTGCTTTCCCGGGCCATCTCAGTGAGCAGGGTTGAGAGCAGAGCCGTTGGAACTCCATCAGAGCCCATTGGGGATGCTGGCCCCTAGGCGGAGGATTAACCACCATAAGCTAGAGTGGCCTGCCCCTCTTCTGCTGATTGCTACTGTGGTTTCCTTTCTATGGGAAGCCCTAACAGAGATCGAAATGGTGAAGAAATGAGAAGGTCTCTTTTCCAGGCTTGTTAATGGCATAGCAGAACCCAAGGAGGGAAGACCTCTTTCCCCGTCTCTCCATCTCTCTGTCCTAACCCTGCCACTCAAAAAATAAATACATGTTTGAAAAAATCCGTGAATACTCCTACAGAAGAGTACATGGAGAAACACGAAGAGAACAGAGAGACAACGCACATAAAGCATATTAGGATAACATAGGTGGCATTAATAAACGTCTCCCAAAGACGTTTTTAAAGTTGAAATGGAGTCTTCAACGCTTTTGGCATAAGGACTTTCTCAAAAGCACAGGCACCAAATACGGTCTAACAGAATAAGAAATTGAGCTACCTGCCGTGGATGAAATCCTGATCCAGGTGAACACACTCTAGGACTCAGAGAGAGGTGGTTTCCCGTGGCCGCTGCAGTCGCAAGGAGGCTCCATCTCTCCGCGCTTCCTTCCGGCTTTATACCTGGGCCAGGTTCAAATCCAATCAGCCCTCAGCTCAGGAAATCCCAGAGCTGGGTTTCTGTCTGACAGCCCAGCTTCATTTTGCCCCACCCTTTGCGTTGACATTTGTAGCCAAACTCAAAGGAACATCAGAGTGGAAAATCAAGTGTTGGGGACAGGCAACCTTGACAGATACAACCAAAGAAATCCCAGGGAGCAACACGAATATCAAACGAATGGAGCGGGTACTTTGTGAAAAGCTTCATTGGGAAGGAAGAGTGACAACAACCTGTCTTGCATCTGCTGGCTCCCTCCCCAGCTGGGAGCCACAGGCAGGGCTGGGGCCAGGCTGAGCCCAGGAGCCAGGAATTCCATCCTGGTCTCCCCCAAGAGGGGCAGGGGCTGGAGTACTTGGGCCATTCCCACAGCTTTCCCAGGTGCAGTGGGCAGAAAGCTGGAGTGGAAGGGGAGTGGCCAGAACATGCACTATGGGAGGTCACCCTGTAGGGTGTGAACTAATCCTTTCTCTCAGCCTACAGGCCCCTAAGGGGACATTTTACACAAAAGTCCTTTTCAAAGATTTGCAAAATTCCTTTAAAAATACAATTATTTTAGTATTAAAATTGATATAGAAACATGGATTTTCTTAATACATTTCCTTTTTTCTTTTTCTTTTCTTTCTTTCTTTCTTCATTTATTTATAGGAAGGCAGGCACGGTTAGACAGAGAGAGAGAGAGAGAGAGACAGAGAGAGAGAGAAAGGTCTTCCTTCTGTTGTTTCACCTCTCAAATGCTGCCATGGCCATCCCGCTGCGGCTGGCACATTGTGCCGATCCCAAGCCAGGAGCCAGGTGCCTCCTCCTGGTCTCCCATGTGGGTGCAGGGCCCAAGGACCTGGGCCATCCTCCATTGCCTTCCTGGGCCACAGCAGAGAGCTGGACTGGAAGATGAGCAACTGGGACGAATCCAGCGCCCCAATTGGGACTAGAACCGGGGCTGCCAGCACCACAGGCAGAGGATTAGCCAAGTGAGCCTCGGCGCCAGCCTCTTAATACATTTCTAGCAACTTTTAGAAGATCCTTCATAGTTAAGAAAAAGACGCATTCGGTAGAAAGGATTCAAGTGAGTTCAGTAGGAAAGGACTAAAGTGAAGAAGGTGGAGCCGAGGCTGTGTTGCCTCCACTTAGGGCTCCAGCAGCCCACAGCTGTGCGGGACTCCTGGCTGCTCTGTTTCCAGTGCAGCTCCCTGCTAGCCTCCCTGGAAGATCTCCTCTTGCTCTGTTTCTTCCCCTCTCTCGGTCACTCTGCCTTTCAAATAAATTAAAAGAACACCACTTAATAAACAGAAGTTGTATATGTGACTACATACCAAAAACCTGTTTTTTTTTAAAAAAAAAAAAAAAAAGAAAAAAAGGGATTATGGTATGCGGCTAACTACCCAGCACTGAGACTCTAACTGGCACCCATATGGGATGCTGCCATTGCAGGTGGTGGTGTTGCCCGCTAGGCCATAGCACCAGTCCCATGAATAGCTATTACACAATGTACACATGCATCAAGACATCACACAGAATCACATTAATATGTGCAATGTGATACATCCGCCTACATTCTTATTAAATTAATGAAAACGCATTGAAATAGTGTCTTATGCACGCAGGACTTGACGATAAACAACTATTTCTAATGTATGTATTCATTTTTCATTCTAATTTCAGTGTGCTCATTCTATTCATAAAAATGTGTATTGTCAAGCAGCATGTCATGTGCTGGCAGCAGCCTCATTCAAGTGTACTTCAAAGCTCTGTGGAAGGGGCCGGCGCTGTGGCACAGCGGGTAAAGCCGATGTCTAGGACCTATGGGGCCAGCATCCCACATGGGTGCTGGTTCCAGTCCGGGCTACTCCTCATCAGGTCCAGCTCCCTGTTATTGTACCTGGGTATGCCACAGAGGATGGCCCCAGGACTGCACCCACATGGGAGACGCAGAAGCAGCTCCTGGCTCCTGGCTCCTGGCTCCTGGCTCCTGGCTCCTGGCTCCTGGCTCCTGGCTCCTGGCTTAGGATCGTCTCAGCTCTGGAGGTTGAGGCCATTAGGGAGTGAACCAGAGGATCACTGCCTCTCTCTAACTCTGCCTTTCGAATGCATGAATACATCTTTCAAAAAGAGAAGAACAGATCTTGGAAAACGTGTCTGTGAATGCACACTTGACCATTCAAACTGTTCTGCCCAAGTTTGTAACAGTTGAAACACTCTCTGCCTAGGAGGACAATTTACGCTTTTCACTTTGTCAAGCTCTGGATGAGTATCAACTTTGGAGTGTTGTCCAATCGAGTGAGAGTGTAGTGGTATGTCATTCCGATTTGCATATGCAGGGACACTGCTGTGGCATAGCCGGTGAAAGCCACTGCCAGTCCTGCAAGCATCCCATATGGGCGCCAATTGAGTCCAGGGTGCTAAACTTCCAATCCTGCACTCTGCTGTGGCCTGGGAAAGCAGTGAAGATGGCCCAAGTGCTTGGGCCCCTGCGTAGCCGTGGAGCCGTGGGAGACCTGGAAGAGTCTCCTAGCTCCTGGCTTTGGAGCGGCGCAGCTCTGGCCCTTGTGGCCAATTGGGGAGTAAACCAGCAGATGGAAGACCTCTCTCTCTCTCTCTCTGCGCCTCTCCTTCTCTCTCTGTTTAACACTGACTTTCAAGCAAATAACTAAATCTTAAAAAAAAATTAAACTTAACATCTGCTTCCTCGTGGCCGACATGCCCGTGAGCATTTTACTAAAGAGTCTGGGGCTGTAATTCTGGGCAGCCAAGAATCCCTCTTAGGGTGAAGATCAGGGGAGAAAAGGAAGACGAGACTCTCCCCACCCCGGGTTGTCCTACTATTCCGTTTCTACCAACTGCAACAATAAAATACATTTTGCCACCTGCCTTCCTGCACATATAACCTTCATTTTGTATTAGGGATGCCTCTAAATTCTATATATTTTGCTAGACATGTATCAAGTATTCTTCTTCAGTAAAATGCTGACTTTGGTACTAAATAGTAACTAAATAAAAAGTCTGCATCTTCAGAGGGTATGCAGCTTCCTCGTGGTGGTATGTTTTGAAACAAGGCCTACTAGGCTTGAATTTTGTCAGCTGCCATTGGCATTCATGAGTACTTGATCCTATCCCTTTTGTTCTGACTGCATTGCTAAGATAAGCTTATTCCTACATTTTCTCTTTTAAACCAGCTTAGAGAAAAAACTTACACTAAATTCATTCAGTGAAGTTTATTTGAGCAATTCAAACAACTTCAGCAACAAGAATACAAAAATACAATCATTGACTACCTTTCATCTACTCTGCTTCATATACAATTCAAGTTTAAAAACACGCCAAGGAGTTCTCGTTTCTCTTTGCACGAGGAATACATAACAGGCAGAAATCAGAAATGCCAGTCAGGTACTAGGTCTCCAGTGGGGACAGGCCAGGACGAATCCTCCCGTGGCTGGGAACTTTACAGGTTCTGAGGGTCAGGGGCCACTGCACAGTCACAGAGCAGATGGTCAAGGGCTCAGGGGCTGAAGAGCGTTCACTGGTGCTGAATTTGGCTCATGCCACCAGAAAGCGCCTCCCTGTGGCTTGAGCCAGAGGGGACTAGCATCAGGCACACCAGGGCCGGGGGCAAGCACAGACGCAGCCAAGGTTCTGGAGGCGCAAGTGTGGCGCACGACCCCACCCTCTGCCTGATTCCCAGGAGACGCCCAGTCCCCAGCAGTGTCCCTGCAGAAGCTTCTGAATGGCTGCACGCTGGTGCTGGGAGGAGTCAGCGGCACCACGTCAGGGAGACCCACGGTGATGCTGTCTAAGGAGAGCAGGCTTTCTCAGGCTACTGCAGGGAGCTTGATTGGTAGTGGAACAGCCTAGATTCAAACTGGCACCCATATGGGATGATGGCTTTGTAGGTGGTGGTTGGCTCGCTAGGCTATAGCACCAGTCCCATGATTGGATGTTGCACAAATGGGCACATGCATCAAGACATCACATAGAATTCTTGTTAATATGTACAATTTCATACATCCACTAAATTTTTTTAAATTAACAGGACACTTTTAAATAATGACTT